TTGTTTGTATTTCGTCTTTGCTTTGATCAGCCCTTTGACGGCTATTTCTTGTGATTTGGGGCTATAACAAATGTTCATTTGAACTAAACATGGAGAAGCAGCGTTCAGTTGTTATGCTCCAAACTTCTGGAACAAGCTCCCAGAAACCTGCAGGTCCGCTGCGACTGACTACCGTAATTTCCGGACTATAAGGCGCACCTGAATATAAGCCGCAGCAGCTAAATTGAATGATGTGTACATATATAAGCCGCACTGGACTATAAGCCGCAGGTGTTTTAATGTTTAATTACCATATGTAAGGGTTCGTGCACAGAGGGGATTGTCGGGAAAGAGATGGCTGTTTGAGGAAGCTCCCATTTATTAACATTTCAACAAACAAGTTGCATATTTGCATAACATATTCAAGTGTTACCATTTATTGCAATAGTAGCTACAGAACATGTACTGTGCTGTGTAAACTGTACTGTATCACATAGCGTTTCAGACACACAAACTTTTCAACTTTCAAACTTAAACGGTGCGCTCCCAGCGCACGTACCGGCAGTGATCTACAGCAGTGGTTTTCAACCAGTGGTACGGGGACAAACTGTCTCGCTCTCGTAATGTCTGTCTGTCTTGCTCTCGTTCTGTCTCTCGTACCACTCTCGGTTCCACTTTTACTTTTGCGCGCTACCTGTCTCACTCTTTTCCGGCCTCCAGCTTCTCCTGCTGGAGCCCGCCGCTTAAAGGTGGCGGGCGCGGACCGGCCATAGAGCCCATAGAGTTAAAGGTGGTGGACTGTAACCTGTAAAATCCATAGATTTAGGAGGTCCCCTAGTGGCCGTTAGCTGTAAAAATCCATAGATTAGCCGCACCGTTATATAAACCGTAGGGTCGAAAAAGGGGAAAAAAGGCGCGGCTTATAGTCCGAAAATTACGGTAAATGATTTTTGACATTTCATTGGCCTCTGCATAATGCATTTTCAAACCTCAACGTAAGTCTGACTTCAGTCCTTTTGTGATGCTGACTTTTTCTTTCCTTTCAAGGTGTGTGTTCCTTCCTGATAATGGAGCCTTCTTCGTGAATTATGTCATTGCGTCTGCGTTCATCGGTAATGCCATGGATCTGCTGCGGATCCCCGGTCTGCTCATGTACATGATCCGCCTCTGCCTGGCTCGCTCTGCAGCAGAGAGGAGGAACGTCAAGAGGGTGAGTGTGACCTCATCATTTATGGGTCCATGCAGGGCAATATATATTGATAGTTTATCGATATCGTGACGGAAGACTACATTCCGTCTTACATCTTCCATATCTCAATATCTCAAAAGTGGTAACTTTACTGTATGTACTTTAATGTAACTTCCAGTCTACACATTACTAATGATTGTTTATCAATAATCTCACTGTGGATATTTTATGACAGCGTCAATAGTCAACCCTACAACAACATCGGAACATTTCAAATGGAGTATTTGATCAAAAACACGACGATATTGTATTTTCTCTTTATAGCCAAGTCATTAGTCCATGACCTGTAAGGAAGTTTGGTTTAAAAATAAATCCCTGCTTATAACACATTCCAACACAAACATCTTTTCTGGAACTTAATAACGGGGGAATTAAATGTCATAAAATAAGAAAAGAATGGGAAGTTCTACTTTGACATTAGGTTGGAAGTATTGATGTTTTTTTGATCAGATGCACGTGATCTTGCTTGTGAAAAAGGGATGTTTAGATTTTGGATTTTGTTCTAATTGTATAATTGTGTCTGTATAGCACCAAGCCTATGAGTTTCAGTTTGGGGCAGCCTATGCCTGGATGATGTGCGTCTTCACTGTAGTAATGACCTACAGCATCACCTGCCCCATCATTGTCCCCTTTGGTGAGTTCTGCCATTAATTACCCCCGCTGGGGGTCTCTGCTGTTTCACCTCAAGATAGTGTGCTTATCAAATTACTGTTAGAGAAACAGACAGAGGCCGGGAGCATTCAGTGGCTCTGTGATTCATGCGGAAGCTTATCCGTGTGCCTAATGAGATTAGTTTGGCTAATTGTGTTGTCCCTTCTCTGTGCAGGGCTGATGTACATGCTGCTGAAACACCTCGCGGACAGGTACAACATGTACTACGCATATCTGCCGTCCAAACTGGACAAGAAGATCCATTCTGGAGCGGTCAACCAAGTGGTGGCTGCTCCTATTCTCTGTCTCTTCTGGCTTCTGTTCTTCTCCACTATGCGTTCCGGTAAGATGAGGACTCCATCTACAGGCCACTGATGTCCTAACACATGCCCACATTTATATGCACACTTTTATCCAAAGCATACGAAGTACATACAACTGATGAATCCCTCCATTTCTTTCCCCAGGATTTTCAGCGGCTACATCCATGTTCACGTTCGTAGTTCTGGTCATCACAATCATTATCTGCCTCTCTCACGTCTGCTTCGGACACTTTAAATATCTCAGTGCTCACAACTACAAGGTAAGAAAATCCTCCTCCTGTGCATTTTATTCCTGTTTCCTAAACTCTGCAGTATTTGACACTAGTGTTATACTCAGCTGCTTATGTAAAATGCATGTTTTTCCTTCCTAGATCGACGACCAGGAGGTAGACGGGCGGTTGGAGAACGGGCGTCCGCCGTGCGTTACTACAACCAACAAAGCAGGAGTATGTATTCATTTATGTTTATTTTATAACAATATAAGCCTCAAGATCAAACGGTGGAATGAGATGGGACATACTTCTCAATTTCATTATTGTTTTTTATATTTTAACAACTTTCAAAAGTTTCTGTTCATTCTATTGTGCTAAACTGGCTATAGGGTAAACTATCAGTCAATAGAATTCACTTTTGTGTTGTATGGAGATCTTAACACGAAGCAGAAAATAATTAACCTTACTTTTTCTCCCCTACAGCAAATGTACATAGCTGAGGTTCTCCAAGACCCAAATTCAGAGGGGGGGTCAGGCAGTGGAGAGGAAGATGGCCAGGGGTCCTCGCAGGACGAGGAAATAATCAATGTGGAAAATGGCTTGAATGAGGACTTCCAGTCTGGTGAGGACAGCCTCATTGAGAATGAAGTGCGACACTGATACTGACTGGAACAGTTAAAAACCCCCTAAGTTTAACTTGAGGAGTGCACTGAAATTATGTGAATTTAACTAGGAACTGAACCAACAGTTCTCCAAAGCATCTCAACCTCCATCGAGGGACTTTACACTAACCTAAGCACACTGTCTACTAAGGATTTAATGGATTGTCGCTCAAGGACTCTTGCATTTCCTTCACTGGATCTCACCAAACCACATCTTCTGTCTGTGTACCTGCAGAGGGAATCTACTCTGAAAAGGCAAGGACAGCGACATGACGTCCTTCTGCCCCGAAATAGCTGAGGAAAGCCCCAAACACTGCACATGGACTCATGAAAGAAAGACACTAATGCACAAATGAAGCATAGTTTGCCTTGTTTTGTAAGGGGACTGATATTCTGTGTGTATTTCCCTAAAAATATTGCACTTGGAAGAGAGAACCTGTCCTATAAGCTCTACTTTCACTAAGGTACTGTAGTACAGCATGCCTTCAAAGTACAAATGGTGGAGGGATGTTCCTAAAATCCTTTGCCAGTATTTCTAATTGTCTGCACTAAATGCCTCCCCTGAATAAGCAGCTGGATTTGAGACGAGAAAAAGTGATTTCACACCAGACAGCTTGGTCCGTACAAATGTGATGTTCTCAAAATAGTTCTTCCAATTCCATAAAAGCCTTTAGAAAATAAACAAAGAAGAAAGAAATTGCTACTAATACTCCTGGATGCTACGACACTGTACAGCTACAAAACTTTGGATTTGTAAAATAGCCTTTTTTTTTGACATGGTATTTATTTGTAGGCATTGAATTTGAAATGCTATCAAGCTCGATACATCCCTAAACTTTGGAAGAATATAACCCATATCTTGGCACACTACATTCATCTGTCGTTCATTCTCTGAGCCTGTGTTGGGACTGCTGCTACTGATGTGCCCCCCCCCCCCGGGCTGCAGCTGGAGGACTGGAGGCCCGGAGCCTGCTGATCCTTCTGTGATGCTCAGAGGATGAAGAGAAAAGCCTTTGGGTTTTGTTTTTTCTTTGTTCCACTTCATATGATACTGGACTGGTTCTCTTAATTTGTTGTTTTCCATTTGTATCTCTTTGTTCACATGTTTACGTCTTCATGGAAGGATTTAGAAATTAGCATTGAGTGTTCTCCTGATAGTTTTATGAATAAGCTAATCTATATCTCATCACTCATTCTTCTGCCAGGTCCTCTCCATTTATATCATGTAGTAGCATTTTGTTGTCATCCAGCATTGTTATGGTTTCCCCATTTGCAATTACTCAGAGTTGTATAATGTTTAGCTCAAATTGTGCAATTTCTGGTGACAACTTATCAGATCTTAGGCTTGGCCGATTAACTCTCAATACTACTATGCCTCCCCCATTGAAAGCAAATTGGAAGACATATGCATTATGTTGCTTCATGGGTTGTTATAAAGTGATAAAGTTTGGCCTCTATTGTACATTCCATTTGCAGATCCAGTTACTAGCATTGTCAGGCCTCCGTCAGAGCTATAGTAGCTTCCAGATCTGCCTCAGCCATATCAAACAGCTTCTTTTCAGGAATCAGGTAGACTCAGACAACATCACAAACACAATTTAACAAATTATAATTTAGAAACGAAGTGCTTACACAGTTAGGACCTTACTCAGGATTTATCAAGCTTCTTGTTTTTGTCATTTCAGTTTTTCCTAAGTAAAGATGACACCATGAGCTTCCCTAAAAAAGAAAAAAAAAAGAGGATTGTTGGTAGAGCAAGGCTGCAGACAAAGCACCACTATAGTGTGTCACTTTGGATGAATTGTTGTTTTTGGGCCATTTATATCAAACTTATTATCCAGATGCTCAGAGAACCAATGTGGGAAATGTGCACTAATCTCACTTTCACTTGTATGATTGACAGAGAAGGGCCCGCCCCCTGTGGGTGTAATGATGACAATGGTGAAGCTAAAATGTTTCCATAATTTTTCCATGGGTATATTGGCACCATATATGGGTAAATTATTATGGTACTAACAAGAGAGTTGTTTGACACCCTTGAGTCTGGTGCTCTTCTAGTCATGATAAGGTGATTTTATTTTTATACCTCTTCATTTTTATACCTCTGAGATGTCATGAAATCTCTAAATGTGTCCTGTCTAAATCTAAATCCACTGCCCGGCTCTGAGAGAAATACCTAAAAATCGTATAATGTCTAATATCTACAGTGTTTAAACGTTGAATGTAGGTTAATTTCAAACCTTTTGGTAAGTTAAGTGCGATCGCTGTATTTACACAGCTTCAACAGGAGGGTTCACTATAGCTAACCAGCAATTAAAGTGTCATACTACAGAACTTGATTGTGTCCAGTCCCATCATCATAGCATTTCATTTGTCAGTCTGCAACGATTTCCACTACTTTTTTTTTTGTTGGTGTAATTCCAAGTCTAGGATCCTCATGAGTCCTTTTACTTTAGATTATGTTTATAAGATCTGTATAGACAGTGGGAAATGGATTGTTTTTCTGAAAAGCTAGGCACTTTCTAATAGAAGTTCTCAGCTTGTTCTACTGTACCATGTACTCAGAATGGGTAGTAAAGTGTCTGTGTATCAAACTGTGCACAATTAGAATGTGTCTTTGTGTGCTTGCCTTTTATAGTTTTACATTTTTCTAGATAGGAAGAGTAACAATAGCAGATCTCTGCAATTGACAGTCTCATTTTATTATTTCCAAAGGGCCGTCTGTGCTACAGATATATACTGTGTATATCTGTGCTCCCCCCCCCCCCAAGCTCTTTGAACAATAAATCTGTATTTAATCAAGTAACTTTTTTTTAACTATCAATTATTATAATCACTAAAAGATGAGAAATAACAATTTGATTGACTGATTAATTCACTCAAGGGTTTCGCTGCTTACTTATTCTAGTATGACCAGTAGCTTATGGGGAGTAATGTCAAAAACTTTAAAATGTTGAAACTTCTTAAAGCAATAGCTGTGTTCAGAAATCTTACTCCATAGAATACAGCATACATTCTACTGATTGAGGTAATGTTAAGGTGGTATGCAGAACAAAAAAAAATTCAACCATTTAACCAACATGAAATGAAACGAGCAATATCAACATTTGATAACATCACAGTCAATTAAACCTCACAAAATGTATTTAAGAATGAACACATTCATTTGGTCTTTTTTTGTGCCACCACTATTTAAACTCATTTTTTTGCATTGCATTTTGAGAGAACTGTCTTAAAAATTATACTTTTTATATACTATACTAACTAGAAACAGCAGAGACCACTCAACAAATCATCCATATTTATTTTGCATCATGTCTGAGTTATTTGGTCACTTTTCCAGTGAGAACACAGAATATACTTTAATGTGCTTAGAAATATTGAGTATTATTCTGGCTGTCAACACTTGGAGCAAAAGTTAGTTCCTGTATTGTAGGCTTGTTGGTGGCCTGACAAGGTAAAAACAAATAGCTTTTAAAAAATTTTTTTACAAATAATGGTATCATTTTGAAGACAAGTTCTACTTAACTTAAGACCACTAAGAATAACCCTAGTTGTATGGTTCTGACCATGATGTTGGAAAAACACAGACTAAAACTACATTGTATGTTGGCACAGAAAATATCATGTTTGTAGGTAAGGATGAATTTTGATTGGTAATCTAGGAATGGAGGTAGATGATTGGCGGACCGCGATGGGGGCGGGGCTGCAGTTCTCAATATACACACGGTGCTGCTTGAGAGGGAAGTGCTGCTGTGGTGCGACGTGGAAAGGCAGAATGGCATTTATGTCTTTTGTAATCAGACAAGTGAAATCCAGAGACTCAATAAGAACAGAATGCCAGCTTCCAGCAGGATATAACTCTATGATGTAGCACATATGCACACTGACTCACCTCTGTGAAGAATAACTGTCAGTCGTCATGGACGGAGGGTTGACTATCACTTTTATATCGGTGGCGATGTTTGTAGGTACATTTCTACTTGGATTCATCCCACTGTTGTTCAGGCTTAACGAGGTAAGTGTTTGTTTTCTTAAAGTATGGTTAGTCGGGAGATTTAAACTATACTCAAAGTATCCTATCAAGATGACATCATTCTTGAATCAAACTTTATAGACATTGAAACTGCAGTCTTTTTATTGTGCCATCAAAGCATACACATGACTATTACTAAGATTTACACCCGTAGATGATGATGATTTATGTTTTTGAATGAGAAGCATTGCTTATTGTCATGAGAAACTTGAGAAATCGCTCCGGTTCAGCCTTTCAAATAAATCCCTGTGGGGAGGGAACACTGCTCAGCTGAACATCACATGTTTCTCCTCAGAAAAGCCTGCAGTTTGTCTCCATCCTGGGGGCAGGACTGCTGTGTGGAACAGCGCTGGCCATCACCATCCCTGAGGGAGTGGGTTTACTGGAGGAGTCATGGAGAGGTGAGCAGAACATGCCATATAATCCAAATCCAATAAAACAAATGTTCACCTGTCAAATGTGGCTTGTACATGTTTGATTGTGACCCACCACTCAATAGATTACCATTGTGTTTTGGGCTGGAGAATGAAGCACATGCACCAGCCACTTAACAGCATTTAAATGGTGCCAATTTCGAGTCCTATATTTATTTGTAGTACTCTTTCACTCCCATGTCGTTTGTTGTCTTGCCAACTGATTACCCATAATCGGTGCTGTCCTCAACCACCAAATGCACACCTGTGCTTGATTGTAACCCCTTGAGATGAGTGATGAGGCACATGGTGATGAAAGCAGGCTTAGTGTATGCTGCTCTGCCTTGTTGTTCCTTTATGTGGATTTAATCAAAAGCTATTCCTGTGCTTCGTCCTCTCTCTGCAGCATCCTCTTCCTCCTCTGATGTGCCATCCGGTCTGAATGCCAGTGAGAAAAATGAAAATGTAACTACCACTGATCGTCCACCTCGGTTTCTCATTGGGATGGCTCTAACTTTCGGGTTCACCTTCATGTTTGTGGTGGACCAGATCGGAAGTTACTTCTCCATGCCTGGCAAGTTAGCATTTGTATACAAAATCAGAATTCCTTTATTTGTCCAAGAACTGGGAAATGTATAACAGCGGAAGTATAGTGCGGAATTAAATAAAAAGGTATGCACACATTATTAATAATAATAATAATTTTGTTGCTAAAAAAAATTAGCAACAAAACTTGTCTTAAATGAGATAGTACCAATTAATACTTCATCCCCACTCATTTTTTCCTCACACATGCCTCCC